AGGTTCGAGGAGTAAGGAAATCCTCATCTTTGTCTTAGATTACCTATTGCTCCGACTCCATCTATGCTGGAGGTGGTGATTGCTATTTGGCCGCCTTCTTACCTCTAGTGCTCCACTTCTTCGAGGTTGAAGGCTCTGGAGTCAGCACCACTTCCTTGATTGCAAACATCTCCTTTGCAGCATGTTGCTCCCCGTAGACTGTTTTTACTCCTTCCTCTATTGGGAACTTCATCATCTGGTGAAGAGTTGAAGGTACTGCCCTCATGTTGTGTATTCACGGTCTCCTGAGGAGTGCGTTATACCTCATGTCACCCTCGATGACATGGAACTTCGTATCTTGTATGGTCCCGGCTACGTTTACTGGCAAGATAGTTTCTCCCTTTGTTGTTTTGCTTGCCATGTTGAAGCCATTCAGGACCCGGGATGCAATTTCTGATCTTGTATGCCGAGTTGTTCTACGACCCTCGATCTGATTATGTTTGCTGAGCTACCTGGATCTACTAAAACACGTTTAACTTGAATTTTATTCAAAAGGATAGAGATCACCAGGGCGTCGTTGTGAGGTTGAGATATGCCTTCTGCTTCCTCGTCACAGAATGATAAGACGTCCTCGGGCACATAGCTCCGAGTCCGTTTTTCTCTAGTGATTGATACTTTGGTGCGCTTGAAATTGACTCCGCCAATGATCATGTGGATTACATGTTGTGGTTCTTCTTGCTCAGTTTTCCTTGCATCCCTTTCCCTGAAGTGATTCTTAGCTCGATCACTTATAAATTCTCGAAAGTGTCCCTCGTTGAACAACCGAGCCACTTCTTCCCTTAGCTGCCTGCAATCTTCCGTTCTATGACCATGTGTGCCATGATATTTGCACATCAAGTTCGTGTTCCCTTGAGAAGGATCAGTCTGTATTGACGTGGGCCACTTGGTGTCTTTGATTCTCCTAATAGCTGAGACAATCCCTGATGCATCTTTGCTGAAGTTGTACTCTGATAATCGAGGAGCCTCGGCGGGATCGGTGTGCTTATCGAACCAGCTTTTACTCATGAGTCCCCGAGAACTTTGACCTCGATCGTTTCTCCGATCGCTTCGAAGAGTGTTGTGGATCGGGCCCACTGTTCCTTCGATCGGCATATGGCTGATACCATTATTTGTTGAATCTCGATTCCCGGTCTGTGTCCCTCGGGGGCTTGGCTGCGAATCTGTTAGGATGAACTGAACCCAAGGGGGCTCCCAACTGGTCATCATCGACCCTACTTTTTGATTGGTAACGATTGTGCACATCCGACCATGTCACAACTGGATATTCGATCAATTTGTGTTTCAACTGTCGAGATGCGATCGAGCCCCTTTCATTCAGACCCTGCATAAAGGCCTGTACTACCCAATCATTGGAGACCGGTGGTAATTCTATTCTCTGAAACCGGGACAAGAACTCCCTTAGCATCTCGTCGTTCCTTTGCTTTATTTTGAAGACGTCTGATTTTCTCGTGGCCACCTTTGTGGCCCGGGCATGTGCTTTCATGAAGGCATATGCTAACATAGCAAATGAATCAATAGAGTTATGTAGACCTTGGATCAAATAACACTGAAGCATCTCTATCACAAACCAGAACCGTACCTATAATAACTGCATCTAAAGCCTTAGCCTCGGGCCTGGCTGGGAGAGCATAACATCGGGGTTGGGCCCCACCACCCTGAACTACCTCCCTGGGACGACCTGCAGCTGGCTGGCCTCCACCTCTGGCGGCCTGAGCTCCACCTCTAGGACCTCTACCTCCACCTCTAGCACCTCTACCCCACCTCTAACTTGCTGGGCGGTCTGTGGAACATCTAGTGCGTGAACCATAACACGAGAACCCTGATGTGGAGAACTGCTCGAAGCTCGAGGAAAATACCTAACAATGTGCCTCGGGTCGCCACAAGTAAAATAAGCCCTCGGTTGCTGGGGCTGGCGACCCTGAAAACTCTGAAGCGGTGGTGCACTGATAGGTGCTGGTGGCACACTGAAGGACTGCTGATCTCACGAAGATAACAACATAGCATGAACTTATGTAGCAGATTCTACCAAGGAGAAGCAATATACATGAACTAAGCACAAGATATCATATTCGAACATAACAATATTGCGCCGTGTAATCCGATCCAAAACAATACCATTGTGGTGAGAAACCCGATCCAATGGCCATATTATTGAAGCGTATAATCCGGTCTAATTATAGCATCGTTGCAGAGTGCAACTCGATCCAATGTACCAAACCACATTGGAATGCCCATGGAGCAATTACCTCATACTTACTAACCACATGTATAGCAATAATAAGCATGATAAATTGCATAACTATAACATTTAGGGATTATATCTATGATGAATTATGATAATTAATCAAATATAAGTTGGAATTACTAACCTTTGAAGTTGGGGTAAAAATCTTCTAAAACAGTCCCTCTTACGCAATTTAGGTCTAAAAAATGGAGTAAAATGAACTAATCTTGAAACCTTTCCCCTTATTTTAGTTGCCGATGTCAAGGTACGACAGGTTTATCACAGGTCCGATACCGCAAGCACAATAGATAAGGCTCATAGGTGTGATCATGCATCGATACATATGTCCTTTGCAAAGGTGATACCCGTATTCGTGACCGAAGTCGCGCAGATGCGACATTACTCTAGCGTCAAGCCCCTTCGCAAGTGCGAACCAACATCATGCAGATGCAGCCTCGCACCTGCGCACCAGAGAGTCACATATGCGACACTCTGCCTGGCTCCCCTTTCTCGTAGATGTGATCCTACCTACCACAGGAGAGAGACCTCGCGCCCACACACATGTTCATCAGGGGTGCGATAACCGCAGGTTCAACAACAATAAAGCACATGAAAAATGTTCGGAACCAATTGAAAACTCACCCAAACTTTTCTAGGCCCTAAGCCAAATATCCTAACAAGTATATAAACTTTAAATAAACTCGCTCGAAGGCTCAAAACATTAAAATAACATTAAAAATCAAGAATCAACCATCAAACCAAAATTCAAAGTTCATAATTTCAAATTTTCTAACTTTCACATATAAGCACCAAAAAGGTCTCGAGTCACCTAGGAGCCAAATTAAACATACAAGTCCAACATCATCATACGAACCTACCAAAATCATTAAAATACCGATCCAAGATTGTTTACCAAGAATATTAATTGTAGCATTAAACTCTAACATTGGAATTTCTCTTTCAAAACACATCTAAACCTTCCAAAAATACAAACGGGCCATATACACAAGTCATAAAATATCAAATGTGATTTAGGATATTGGATATAGACACAGATACGAAAACTCAATTGACTACACATTTGCCTCGAGAATTACTAAGGCACTCATTATACCAGAGCATCTAGTCATTTAAACTCAAGATTAATGATGCATGTCCTAGGTTAAATAAAGTAACCAAAAATATATTTTAGGTTAATCGAATATAACTGATTTTTCAATTTATCCACTGATCAAGTATTCGAACGAAGTACTGATCAGGTGAGAATACTACATCCACACGCGTTATACGAAACTATAGATTCTCATAAGTAAAACAAAATGATACACAATAATATTCATTCTTAATCATTTTATTTCACTTATGAAAGATCATTCTGCATAGGGCGAGGCACTTGATAGGTCGACTCTTTCGTCTATGGAGAAGAAGATCGTGCAGCTTCTGCCGAGCTTGAACATGCAAAGGCTGGAGAAGAAAAGAGAGATGAACAGTTTCATAGCCTTCAGGATCAGCTGGCCAATCTTCTTGCTAGTGAGGCTTTTTCGATTCTCCGGTCTCGTGAGTCTTCAACAGAGGCTACTCCTCCTCCTCGTGCTCCTTCAACCCGTGCCGACGATAAAGCTTCTAGTAGTGGAGGTGTTTGTTTGCTAAACTCTTTCTAGAACTTGTGATAGTTTGATGTTGAATTGTTGCAAATAGCTCTCTCTATATATTGTTGATATTGTTTGTTATTGGAAATTTGTACTTAAAGTTTGTATTTTGGAATTGATTGAAGTTTAGAACGCGTTGTTATTGGTGTATTATGATCGGTTAACATTAGAACGCGTTATTTTGATATTTTATGGTTGATTGGCAGATATTAGGTTGTTTGGTTGTTTTTTGCAGGTGGTGTAGCTTTAAAACAACCATATTCTGCTACTTCTTTCAAGAAAACATCCACCTTCCGACCGAAGTCGGCCGAGAAATTCGGTCGGAAAACACATTAGGAGAAACCCAAAAATTAATATTTTCGACCGAAGTCGGTCGATAAATGAAATTTTCAAGCCCCGACAATTAAAAGTATCGATCGAAATTGGTCGATAAATCAAATTTTACTTAAGAATATTGTAACACTACCGATATTAGTAGGTATTTCACATTTTTAAAAAATATTTAAATTTAATTTAGTGACCGATATCGGTCGCTATTTTACAAAACAAAAATTATTTTTTTAAGTTCTGACCGACTTTGGTCGGTATATTAATTTTCTCAAGGTTGGATGTCAAATAAAGGTAGTCAACTTTTGGCTGAACCATTCGATTGTTGTTAGTCTGAAATATTGACCGATTTCGGTTTGTATGATTACCATGCTTATACCGACGAAATAAAATTGATCAAAAATCGGTCAATTTTGCTAATATACCGATCAATTTCGGCCGGTATTCCAGGACGGATTTTTGCCAGTTTCTAATAGTGCCTACCAAACGACCCCTAATAGTCTACAAAATGCTTATACAATTAAATCAATTACTCTTTACGATAATTATAGTTAAATCGCTATGATAATATTAATTGATCGAAAAAATAAAGTAGTAACAAAATTGCAATAACAAGTTAAATTACGTTGATAATATAACAATTTTAATTTGTCCTATGTAATCTTAAGGATTATGCAATTTTAATTAATTCTTCTTGCAATATAACATCGCCTAGAAAATACGCGCACAGTGAGACTTGGGAGAAGAGGAAAAATGACAAAATATTCTTGTCCGTACGATACCAACAAAAGCTTCGCCATTCTCCTCAAAACTACCTTCCGCGCTCTGCTCTCTTCTTCTCATGCATGTCCACTACACCCACCTGCCCTCCTCTTCCACACCCCCACCCCCCACATTTGCTCTCTCTTCTTCAAACACATTTCCTTCAGTCTTAATTAGTTCACGTTTAGAATAATTCATAAAGCTTTTCCGCTATATTGTTATACGTATCTTTTCCTTTATAATTAATTCCATGGAGGAAGAAAAATTTGAGGATGACGAAAAACATGCATTGGAAGGTCTGAGCATGGAGCCAGCACCGCGTAAAAAGGCTCATTCATACAGCCACCAGCTTCGTACCAATACCGGAACTCACCACAAGCGTTACCACAAGTTCCGACATCACAGCTTTGATATTCCCACAAACCTCATCGATAACAATAATCACGGGTTAATATACGATGACGACGATTCTTCTGACGGTGATGAAGATTTTTATCCTTATATTTCGACGTCAGGGCAGGTGTTTGATGCAGGTATCGGGCTGACGATGGGAGTTGTGTCGGATAATGTTAATCAAGGACAGCAACAGCCGTTGCCGGAGTTTATTGGAAGTGGTGGTGGAGCTGGGATTTTTAAAGTGCCAACTCGTGCCTCTGTTCATCCCTCTCGTCCATCTTGCCATGAACTCAGACCTCACCCCCTAAGAGAAACCCAGGTGAGGAAATTATATGTTACAAGAACTACTGCTAGATATGTATGCCTCAATCCCAAATTTGTCGGAGTCCACAGGGACGAAGCCACATTATCCTAGGGGTACCCTTGGAGAAATTTCCAGAGTCCATGATATAAATTATCAATATTCATTTTCTTTTTGACCTTGAGTAATGCAAACAATATTGGTGATCAGAACCCAATGCCCCGAAAACCTAAGCATTTGTCCGCCGAGGGTGTGTCAGGACCTAAAGGTCTGGTCGATGGACAACGGGTGAAAATTTCCTTACTACTCCTTTTTTTAATAGTTGTGGTGTCGGGCTAGCTTGGTCACACCTTGACCTGGTACCTCCTACTAGCAACATGTAACTTGGTAACTTTGTTCACCAAGGCTTGAATAGATGAGAAGAAATCGCCAACTATTTTTGTCTCTAGTGGGATTGATCTGAGACGACCTAATGGTTCTCAACCCACTTCATTAACCACTAGGCCGCACTCTTGGGCGTAATTCCTTTACTAATGCTCGTCGGACTAGAGAGATGGAGGAGGATAGGTTAGGCGAGAGATGGTTACACGTTCATGAGCATAAGGTGTACTTTATGCTAGGCGCTAAAGTAGTCTTAAAAATTGCTTATTTTCAAGATGTTCTTTTCTTTCTAGAGCTTTTTAATTTATCAATTTGTTTGATGTTTAGGACTAAATGGAACATAGTTAAAAATTTTAAGGTTAATTAAAATAGTCGAAACTATAATTTCAACTGATGCAAGTTGCACTTGTTTCTATTTTCAAAACCCAAATAATAAGACATTTGAAGTCTTAATTATCCATCCTTTTTTTATTGTTTGTCGAGGAAATGACATAAGTAGGATATGGAAGAGAAGAGCAATGATGAAGCTAGATTTCATTTGTTTCTTAAACACTACTGCTGAGCAAAACTTTCCATAAGTTTGATGTCATTTTTGTTTGATTGTCAGATGAATCGGAACTAAAAAGTGTGTGTGTTTTGTTTAGCATTCACCATTCTGTGTTTTTTTCAAAAAACTTTTTCTTTCTTTTCCCAATTTATAGTAACAAAAATTAACGTGAATACAGGTTGGAAATTTTTTGAGGACGATAGCCTGTACAGAGACACAATTATGGGCAGGACTAGAATGTGGGATAAGAGTATGGAATTTTTCAGATCAGTATAAGCCAGGAATGGGAATTGGAGAAAGGGCAAGGAGAGGAGATGAGGATGCCGCACCATTTCACGAGTCGGCAAATACAACACCCACATTATGCTTGATGGTTGATAGTGGGAGTAGGTTGATATGGAGTGGACACAAAGATGGCAAGATTAGGTCCTGGAAGATGGACCAATCAAATGCTGATGAATCTCCTTTCAAGGAAGGCCTCTCCTGGCAGGCTCATCGTGGTTCTGTTCTTTCTATGGTCATGTCTTCTTATGGTAATACCAACCTTTCCTTGCTAGCATTTGTAATTCATTTTTGAAAAGAAAACTATGATCCCCATCAACGTTTATGATTAATCAGCCTATTGAAATTCTTGTTTGTGCTCCTAGATTCTGTTAGCTTATGGTTGGGTTATATCATTTCTAGTTAGCAGCCCTTGGAAATTAGGACATAGGAGAATAAAGAGCTTATTTGCTTGTAAAGAGAGTAAGAATCTTTTATTTCCTTTGTGGTAACAATGTTGATCAAGACAAGGTTCTCGAATCCTAACTATTTGATGTGCTTGCATGGTACATATGACAGGAAGTTTCATTTGGGCATTTAAGCAACTTTGATATCGAAAATAATGCTAGGCCAAGTGTCTTTCTTGATGCGTCTGAGATTACCAACAAGCCAGTTATCTGGACCGCTAATTGACCTTCAATTGTCCTTTTTTGCTGATTGCACACAAGGCCGCTTTGTCATTCCACTCCATAATTTCTCTATAGCTATAAGTTTTGTACATGAAGTCTCACAATAATCATTGAGAACACTTGTTGAATTCTTTTTTTGAAGTTAAATTTTCCAGGTTATACTCTGGAACTTTTATTCATTAGTTGCCGGCTTGCAGCTACATCATTGATTATGTGTTATTTCGTCTTACTGGTAGTTGAGAATCTCAGTTGTAAGCTTATGTCATAACATTAATGGTGAATATATTGTTCCTAATTTTCTTTGTAGACGGCTTTTGTGACTGTTTACTTGCATATCCAGGTGATATATGGTCAGGGTCCGAGGGTGGTAACATTAGGGTTTGGCCATGGGAATCTGTTGAAAAATCTCTCTCTCTATCACCGGAAGAAAAACACATGGCTGCTTTACTTGTGGAAAGGTCATTCATTGACCTTAGGAGCCAAGTTACAATTAATGGTGTCTGTAACATCTCATCTTCTGATGTGAAGTGCTTGTTGTCTGATCATATAAGAGCAAAAGTGTGGGCAGCTGGATCAGCATCCTTCTCATTATGGTAGGTTCCTCTTTATTGCTTCCATCTGAATGATTGTGTGTGCATTTCTTATTCATTAGTTAGTTAAGAGAATAGGCAAAGACTTCCTTTGCTAATAAATCATCACTCCTAATTACCCTGATAGTTGGGAAACTGCAGGGATGCACGTACAAGGGAACTCCTTAAAGTTTACAATGCAGAAGGTCAAATTGAAAATCGAGTTGACATGTCATCAGTGCAAGACCAAGCAACAGAGGATGAGATGAATGCCAAGTTTGTAACAAAATCTAAAAAGGAAAAGTCACAAGGAAGTAGCTTTCTGCAGCGGTCACGCAATGCTATAATGGGAGCAGCAGAAGCTGTTCGCCGAGTTGCTACAAAGGGGGCAGGAGCATTTGCAGAAGACAGTAAGAAAACAGAAGCCCTTGTGATTGCAGCTGATGGAATGATTTGGAGTGGGTGTTCAAATGGTTTACTTGTGCAGTGGGATGGAAATGGAAACCGTTTGCAAGATTTCCATCACCATCCTTGTGCTGTTTTATGCTTATGCATTCATGGTTCTCGAATATGGGTTGGCTATGTAAGTGGCATGGTACAGATGCTGGATCTCGAAGGAAACTTTCTAGCTGGTTGGGTTGCTCACAACGGGCCTGTAGTAAAAATGGTAGTTGGGGATAACTATCTCTTCAGCTTGGCTACTCATGGTGGTATACGTGGATGGAGTCTTGCCTCTCCAGGACCTATTGATAACATAATACGACCAGAGTTAGCTGAGAAAGAACATTTGTACACCAGAAAAGAAAATTTCAGGATTTTAGTTAGCACCTGGAATGTTGGTCAGGGAAGAGTTTCGCAGGAAGCGCTTTCAGCTTGGCTTGGTTCGGCAGTTTCAGATGTTGGAATAGTAGTGGCTGGGTTGCAAGAAGTCGAAATGGGAGCTGGTTTTCTTGCAATGTCTGCTGCAAAAGAAACTGTAAGTTATTTCACCTTCAACATGTTACAGGAGGTCCAGCTATATAAGAAATTTTAAAGCCGTATGCAACCAGTAGTTGTGCCATTTGGCGAAAATGGACCCAGAAACAAAAAAAAAATAGAGAACTTGATCAGTCTGTTATTTAGAAGAAAAGAAGTCAAGAATCCTGGTAGCTTAAAGAGTTAACAGGCTTTACTGTCATGAGAGAATGATAATGTGTTGCAATCTACAAGTAGTTCTGCGCTTTCGTTGATCTGTCTCCTTGACACTGTGTCTCTACTTGCTCAGCTAATCCCTGAAACATGATCAAGAGATTGGAGGGCACAAAATAGCTAACACTAAGATGCTCTACCGTAGATGTATTTTCCTGTGTCTGATTGGTGAGTAAAATTTCCAGATCCACAGAAGGAACTTGTGCATTTTATAAAACAAATTACTGACGAAAGAAGTTGTGTACTAAATGTCTTTAATGCTTGACTTCAATTTGAAAGAAATGGTGTCGGTTTACTCACTTTGCATCACTTTTGATATTTCCAAGTCAATCATTTGTTGACTTTTGCTATGATAGTATTGATATTAGGGAATACATAATCTGGCGCACATGCGGATAGTGTAGCCTGATACTTTCCTAGTCTTGTGTCATGTGCACAGCATTACCACTCATGTCAAACTGTAGGTAGGATTGGAAGGAAGTGCAATGGGGCAATGGTGGCAGGACGCAATAGGGAAGGCATTGGATGAAGGATCAACTTTCGAACGTGTAGGATCAAGGCAACTAGCTGCATTGCTTATTGCTATCTGGTAAGAGCTTGTGAATGTATCTTTTAGTGATATGTTTTCTCTTTGTAAGCTGAAGTCCCAAACTATACATCCTAAGGACTGCATCCTTCATAAAGTATTATATTTCTAGCTGAATTGGGGTGAAATATCTCTCCCTCAAGCTCTAAACCTATTTTGTACTTTTTTACTCATTTTCTGCATCAATAATATTTAACTCAGGGTGAGAAAATCTCTCAGAAAACATGTTGGAGACCTTGATGTTGGAGCAGTTGCATGTGGTTTAGGACGTGCAATTGGTAACAAGGTACCTTTCTCCCTGATATTGTTAACTTGTATAAAAAATAACACTGTCTGATGCTCATATCGAATTGTCCAAAAGCTCATCAACCTGTCCGAGGGATGATGAAGGCGATGCCACAATTGAGGGAACTACCCTCTTACTCTTTTTTAGATAAGAATGCGAAAGACCCTTACCCTGCCAATCAAGCCCACTAAGATAGACTAAGTAGACTTAAAAAAGTGCACAAGAAAGACTAAGGAACAAAAACTTTTCTCGATAACGCTGGGCCATGTTGGTTTGCTTACACTAGAACTCATACCACTGATGCTCAAGACATAAAGCTGCTTGCTCTACTAAATTATTGTTTCTTGCCTTTATAAGGGGAACAATGAAATGGCTTGCATAATTCTGTCATGTTACACACTTACAATGCAGGGTGGCGTTGGTCTGAGGTTAAGAGTATTTGATCGAATAATGTGCTTTGTAAACTGTCACTTGGCTGCTCATTTGGAAGCAGTAAATCGTCGCAATGCTGATTTTGACCATATATATCGAACAATGTCCTTCACTCGGTCTTCTAACCTTCTCAACAATGCTGCTGGTATGCTGCGATACCTGTTTTTCTATTGCACTGTTGTCTTCTCCACATATTTACTATGGCTGCTTTACTCTTCTGGCTTGCCATTGGTCCTCTCTCTTGCAGTTGGCGTTTCATCTGCTGCTCAAATGCTTCGTGGTACAAATGTATGAATGTGCAATTCCAATTCTGTTTTAAGTGATTTTACAGTCTAATTCAGTTCAAGTGACACCTTCTCATCTACAACAGGCTGCAGCAATTAATTCTGATGAGGGAAAGCTTGACCTTGCTGAAGCTGACATGGTGATTTTCTTTGGTGATTTCAATTATCGTCTTTTCGGGATATCTTATGACGAAGCAAGGGACTTTATCTCGCAAAGAAGCTTTGATTGGCTTCGAGAGAGAGATCAATTAAGAGCAGAAATGAAATCTGGAAAAGTTTTCCAAGGAATGCGCGAAGCAATCATCAGATTTCCTCCAACTTACAAGTTTGAAAGGGGGAAACCAGGATTAGGAGGTGAGGCATATTTGTAATGATATAGAATGTGACTGAACTTTTTTTCCTTTCATTTTGTTAAGGATAATGATGACAAGGGTTTGTTTCAAGGACCAATTTAAGATTGTGCTTTTTGAATAGTCCTACATAATGTATGAGCTAACCAAAAGCATTGACATTACTTTCCTTTTTCCACTTTAGGATATGATTCAGGAGAGAAGAAACGAATTCCAGCTTGGTGTGATCGAGTATTGTATCGAGACAACCGGTCAAGTACTACTGCGGAGTGCAGTTTAGGGTGCCCTGTTGTTGCCTCCATTATACAGTAGGTCTTTTTTTTTTCCGGGGCGTTCTTCATATTTACTTTTCTCGCTCCACCTTGAAACTTCTCTGGTACGTGATAGGTACGAGGGTTGCATGGAAGTAACAGAAAGTGATCATAAACCTGTAAGGTGCAAGTTTGATGTTGAACTTGCTCATATTGATAGATCAGTAAGGAGACAAGAGTTTGGGAATATTTTCCAGAACAATGATAGAATCAAGTCTATACTGGAAGAACTACATTATATCCCAGAGACAGATGTTAGCACCACCCAAATTGTTCTTCAGAATCAGGACACATTCAGCTTAAAAATTTCCAACAGAAGTAGAGAAGACAAAGTTCTCTTCCAGTTGACCTGCTGTGGTCGGTCCCCTGCCAAAGAGGATGGGCAAGCATCAGAGTATCATCCCAGAGGTTCCTTTGGTTTTCCCAGGTGGCTTGAGGTGATACTTCATTTCCTAGATGCTCTTAATTTGGGTTTATACTTTCTCATCCTACATGAAACAACAAATGGATGCTCATGGAAATATTGAACAGTATTACCTCTTCTCTAGTCATACAGGATATGTTAGGGAGTCCCTTCATTGTGATATGCACATAGTTAGAAAGAAAACTGATGGAGAAAGCATTAATCAAATCTGACCAGCCAAGCAAGTCCATTTTCTCTTAGTTGATTCCTAATCTATCTAATGCTTTGTCATTCTCCTTCGCTTTAACATATACTTTTCTGGAACTGAAAATGGGCCTTTACTAAATGCCACCTAATGATTCTCTGATTCAGGTCACACCTGCGGCTGGCATCATCAAACCTGATCAAGCCGCTGAGATCTTAGTTCGTCATGAGGATAGCCAGTCATTAGGAGATTCTGTTGATGGTATTCCTCAAAGCTGGTGGTCTGAGGATACAAGAGACAAAGAGGTGATTTTGATGATCAGTATTAAATCGAGTCAGTCAACTGAGGCCAGAACACATCAAGTACATGTGCGCCACAGCTTCACACCTGATGCAGTTCGCGTGAACTCAAAGAACAGTAGGAGTAACCAAGGAAGCTCCCATCATAGGTCTGCACTTAAACATGTTGGCAATACCTCGAATAAGATGAAAGACCATCAAAACATTCGAGTTCCTTGATATCTACATGAAAACCTAAGAAGCTACAAATACAGTTGCATCACCAGAGGATTCCAACCAGTTTGGATTTTCTTTGCTGTCAATACTTGATAGGATCTTGATGTAAATACTCATACACAATTAGTATAAAAGCTTGTTTTCCCGCTCAGAGAATGTTGCCAAAAAGTATAAGATTTGCTCATCCATTTTTTGTTGGAATCAGGTCCTAAATACTTATCTTTGACTGAAGACTTATGATCAACTTTTGGTTGTGATCACTGGAAATCTGTTTGTGCTTCACCAAGAGGACAATTTGTTTGTTCTAGTGTTACCAATTTTGTATTGTAAATTTGATTTTTGGTTAAGCTTTTTGGAATCACATAATAGTGTTCTTCTGATGCCTTATTTTCGCCGCAATCAACACCTTATATCCAGAAGTAGGTTACTGTGGATCAGGAAGAAGGCTACAGAACTAGCTCAATATTGATGCTTTTCGCGAAGCCGACAGAAAATTCCCAACAAATAAAAGCTGGAAAAAGATGGAACTTCATTACCACAGGAAATAGATATGATGAATTATATAATAACAAATTTTGTTTAGTACACTTTTCTAAGGAGTGGATTATGTATAGGCAAAAGCAACTGAATATCAGCCATCTGCACCTTCTTGTCATCCAGTCGCAGTCTGGTAGTAGCAATTGTAGGTAGGTAGTAAACTCCATGATAGTTTGCCTTCAACCTATTAAATTCATGGGAAGGATTTGCTAAAGTTTCATCTTGAACTTCCAAGCATATATGTCACCTCAGATGGTAAGGAATTTAGTGGCTGCAGCAGTTAGAGAATTGTGCAGATGTGGATCACCTCGTCATTATTGCACTTTATTTAAAGTTTCTCCTCATCTGTTCCTAACTGCATAGACCCTTCTGTTCCTCACACAATTTGTTATCTGATGCCATTGCTACAAGTTCATCAGACTTGAGGGTTTAGAATCTGCATATATTCACTCATAATGCTATTTACACATCTCCAGGATTGATACCTTGGGGCAGAAATTTAGCTGACTTTTATTTCTTCCTATACTGCATACATCCTCTTGTAGCTTTCACTGTAAAGCTCTGTATCTGATGCCACGGACATCGAGTATGAACGTGAATGAGTCTCAGCCCTCCTTATGCTCCTCATCTTCGACTCTTCTAGCCTATGTCGAACCACACAATAGCACATGGAACCAATAGTAGTGAGCATTATGGTGCTACCAATGACAGTTGCATAGATAGCAAGCCCTTTTTCCTTGTCTCCAACCACCACATATGTGAGTGAAATAAAGGAAATTGAAATAGAGAGGCAAGCTGCCCACATGAGCTTGTTTATCCAAAACATGAGTTGCTTCTTTGCCTTTTGTTCAATCACCACCACAGAAGTTTGTACTACGACAACAGCAATGGAAATAAACAAGGCCATACTGTCAAACAAGAAGAAGATTATGAATGCCGCTTTCCTAGCTATGTGTGCTTCACCGAGTGAAACCCCATCTGTTTTTTCCTCAACGTATTGGCCAGGTACAGTGAAGATGGCAGCAAAAGCTACAGTAGCAATAAGGACAGCAACAACTGTCGCGTTGTTGATGGCATTGTTAAGACCACTAATGTGGAGTTTTTTCACATTTTTTGCAATTTTCCGCACTTTGAAGCCAGTTTGACGACTGTGTTGGAGTTGGGACTCCACATCATGCCTTATGTCACTGACAGTCTGCTTGAGTTGCTTCGCAGCATTGGGAGGCCTCCCGTGATCTTTAGAATGGGTAGCTCCTGCCTCCTTTAAAATGGAAACGAGCTGCAGAGATCCAGACTTTTCTGCAATATCAAGAGCTGTTTCTCCAGCCTTATTGACGGCGTTGAGATCAATGCCCTCAATTGATATTAGACATTGTACCATCTGCAATTATACGTAGTTAAGTTTCAAGATGAATGCTAAAAAGAGAATGCACAGAATAAGGTGTATGGTTCCTATATTGAGCATGCATATGTATTCAATAAAAGAACCTAGTTACAAGATCTTAACATGAATGCTAAAAACAGAGTACACTAAATAAGACGTTGGGTTACTATATTGAGCATGCATATATAGTCAATGGAAGAACCTAGTTACAAAATCTATGTCAAAAGCAAAAGAATTCTCACGTAAACCTGAGCAACATCAGATTTACACAAACAACAACAACATACCCAGTATAATCCCACGGGAACATCAGATTCACACATAAATTATTAAAACTCTGAGTAGCTTGATCTTTTTTTCCTTTTTTCTCTATGCGAGTAGCTTTGATTCTTAGCGCTGCTTGTTTGAAGTTTTTGCATTTTTGAGTATGCAAACTCAGTCTTTGTGCTTTTGCAACAAGTGTTTGTTTGAGCTAATCTTGAAAAAGAGAACCTTTTTTTAAGACTTCCAAACTCAGTTTTGAAATCATTCTAAAACTCAAAAACTAACGATTTGGATTTTTTAGTTTTAGAAAGATTTGAAAAACCGAGTTTGCATAGTTTCTAAAAACTGTAACCTTTTTTAGGAGTTTCATGGGTAAAAAAACAAAGTACCGAGAAAATGTCAATCCTAAGAAAGTAAGCAAGAAACCCTTCGTCCTTATAAGCAGTAACTCGTGTCAGCTTTCTTGTTTTCAGGGGGCATCAAAATTACCAGCTGTATATTAGCTTATCTTGCAGATATCAGGCTTATCCAGCATCTGCAACCATCTCCACGATACAACAAAAAGTTTTCCTCCATAAACTCACCCACCACTTTTTCTTTCTTCACAGAAGTAGTAATTTTCAATGTGATTAACAAAATGAACAGTTCTGCCTAAATTCAGATACATTTGACTTCGACATACAAAGCACATATCACTAGTTCACCTTAAACACATTAAGACCCTCAACTTTCTGGAAGTCACTAGTTTACAAGAAATAATAGTTAATAAACTGAGACCAACCTGTGGCCGTCCCTTTATAGTTGCAACATGAAGTGCTCTGTTTCCTTTGTTATCTTCCAAAGCCAATACAGCAGGATTTGGTTTGATTAATTCAAACACAATATCAACATTTTGACCCTTTACAGACATGTGCAGGGCACTTTGGCCTTTTTTATCCGTTCTAAAGCCAATCTCAGGATCTTTGCTTAGAAGAGATCTAACTATTTCCAAGTGTCCCATTCTTGCAGCTGTATGAAGAATAGTCTTGCCATTGTTACGAGCTATCTTCGCAAGGTTTGAGTCAATCTCCAGAAGGAGATTCATTACATCAAGGTGCCCCTGAGCAGCTGCTGTATGTAAGGCTGTAGAATTAGACGAATCTGTTGTCATCACTAGGTTTGGAAATGAATGCAACAGTTCCTTCAGTACCTCTGCAATGTAATCCCAGAAAATACTTTTAGAGAGTAGAAATAAGAAAGAAGCATCTTAATTCCAATTTAACAATTGTTACTCAGAACAAGCTTCAGAAAATAACAAGCGATCCAGAATCAAGAATTTAAATTTATTTCACTTGTCATCACAAGTTTGTAAGCTTTGATATACTTAAACAATAGAGGCTAAGCACAAATTAAATCATACTAGTAATAGCCTAACTCGAAACTGTGAGTAACAGTGTTTAGCTTAATGAGTCTTTTTCTCATGAAGTAAATAAGTTTAATCGTCAAGCTCAAGCAATCTTAAAGTTCCATCTTCGTTCTTTTATGATAAAGGTAGTACATGACCCAGCTCGTGCACATCTTGATTAATCCAGGGGTACCTGGTCGTATCAGTAAAGGTATCGGGTCACTCTATCCACCTTAAAAAGATGGAAAGAAATCCCCTAACTTTTTTTGCCTCTGGTAGAATTTGAACCCTGATCCNGGGGGGGAGGAGGAATTGAGTAGCTAAGGTATTGACAAGCTGCTCAAGATCAACCTGGTCTAGTTTCACAAGGCAGTTTATCAAGTTCACGCTTTATTTAGATACTCAAACAGATAGGAAACTTAAAAACGAGGACGAAGAAAAAGGATATCCTCAAGTTTCAGCAGAGAAGAAACAAAGAATTAGCATAACCAATTTCAAGTGAACAAGGGACGGCAAGAAATATCGCTATTCATTGCACTCAGTGTTGGTTAACATCGTAATTGGATGTGATTCTAGCTATGACGCCAGGAATCTTAGCATCATTTGGTTCCAGAAAGCAGTAACATCCATGAACAACATGGCTAATTGGGTGTGACAATCAGGACTAGGAAGCAGCAAAAGAAGTGTTAAGCTGACCAATTTTGGGAATTTGTTGGTGAGCAGAATAGTTGCGGAAACCTAAATGAAAATGATTCGCAAAGCCCCCAAAGAATGATAAAATCATGTACTTCATGGGCTAGTGTAAACAATAGTTTCAGAAGGATACATCATGTCCATTCCATAAGATTTATCTTTAATTTTAATTCCTGCAGAAGAATAAACTAACCACTTTTTGTGATGTTTCTCCAATCAAACAACTATATATTTCTTTAAACAAGTAATCATTGTTTCAGGCTTCTGACATTTTTTTATTTATTTTCTCTTAACAGGAAATCATTTTTAAGGGATAGACATGTATCACTTTTAACTCAATTAATATTTTTACTATTTTTAGCTTCAAAAATTTTTATTGGGAAAAAGGTTTACGGAATGAATGTATCAATATAGAATTTCAAGTAGATGATCTAAAGGTACAACTTATTTTAAGGATCTGGACAATCTTTGCAGGACGGAATCTCGTTCAAGCCATTTTGACTCCTACAGATATGAATAAAAGTAATTCCAGCTCAAACCCTTTCAACTTCTATGCCACCACAAGACACACTATTCTGTAGGTCCTTGTGTATCTACAAAATGCTCACTTCAGGTAATTCATTATTTGTGCAGATGCTAAATTCACCCTCTCCTAGGACGATTTTGTTCTGTGACATAATTGCATAGTTATCTCTTAACAGCTTTCTTAATTTTAAATTTTCAAAACTGCTGCTTTTCTATTTCATGTATTAACAGGATATATACAGCAGTCGTTCCACTGTGTCACACTACCACTAACTTATATACCTTCCCACCCCTACTGAGAAATAGAACTGAGTAATCCTACATCAAATGGCCGAGAAACTTTGCACCACTAATCTTGAATAACTTGGACCGCCCCCTCCAAGCGAAAGTTTTGCACTCAGATGCAAGGAAAATACATATTAGCATCCTTCAGCATCTATCTGCTATAACATCGCAATATGATCTTAACAGCCCAATTTTTCATAATTTGATAGTGGCCAACGGCAGGAAAGTTAGCTTTGGTTGCTCTGAACTTAGTCTTGTCCTCTAGTTTTCTATTATGGAAGAACATGCTTTATATGCAGTCTTCAAATGGAAACATATTTTTAAGATAAGTTATCTAGTATTTTACTGAAGCTAC